ATTTGTCTCCTGCCATCCCTCTCCAGCCTCTGACAAACAGAGGCCAGGGACACCAATTCTATCCCCTGGCTAATAGCCTTTTATGGACCTAACCTCCAGGAAATTATCTAGCTTCTCTTTAAACTCTGTTATAGTCCTAGCCTTAACAGCCTCCTCTGGCAAGGAGTTCCACAGGTTGACTATACGCTGTGTGAAGAACTTTCATTAGTTTTAAACCTGCTACCCATTCATTTCATTAGGTGTTCTCTAGTCCTTTTATTATGGGAACTAATGAAGAACTTTTCTTTATGCACCCTCTCCACACCACTCATGATTTTATATACCTCTATCATATCCCCCCTCAGTTTCCTATTTTCTAAACTGAAAAGTCCCAGTCGCTTTAACCTCTCCTCATATGAGACCCGTTTCAAACCCCTAATCATTTTAGTTGCCCTTTTCTGAACCCTTTCCAAGGCCAAAATATCTTTTTTGAGGTGAGACCACATCTGTACACAGTATTCAACATGTGGGCCTACCATAGTTTTATACAGGGCAGTAAGATATTCTGTGTCTTATTTTCTATCCCTTTCTTAATAATTCCTAGCATCCTTTTTGCCCGCTGCTGCACACTGTGTGGAAGTTTTCAGAGAACTGTCCACGATAACTCCAAGATCTCTTTCCTGATTTGTCATAGCCAGATTAGCCCCCATCAGACTGTATAGTTGTGGTTATTTTTCCCTATGTGCATTGCTTTACACTTATCCACATTAAATTTCATTTGCCATTTTATTGCCCAATCACTCAGTTTGGTGAGATCTTTTTGGAGTCCCTCCCCCCTGAGACTTTCCAACAACTTAGGTTCAGGAGAAGAGGTTGGCCGGGAGAGGGGCCTGAGACTGTGGGGCCTATTTCCGTTGCTGTATTCGCTCACGTATCCAGGCAGTTCCAATGGGCAGCATCCGCTGGCTCTCTCTCGACCTTCGGAGAGCAGTGGGTGCTGTCCAGGGTTCTCTGCTCAGTATTCCCATCCGGTTCCCTCGTTTTAGCCCTTTGACTCTCACATCCATCCCTATTTTCTCATTATTTGTCCTCAGTAATTAGTTCTTCTGGGTTCTATGGCCCCTCCCCACAGGCTGGGGGAGAGGTACTTTAGATG